AGAGCGGTTTTGCCATCTCCGCTCATTATCATCATTATAAACCCAGCCCAGAATCACAGAATCTCCTAGATTGGAAAAGCCCTGTAAAATCATCCAGTCCAATCATTACCCTGACACTGATAACCCACCACCAAACCATGTCCCTGAGCACTATGTCTACACGACCCTTAAATCCCTCCACCACTGCCCTGGGTAACACGTTCCAATGCCCGATGACCCTTTCAGTAAAGAAATTCTCCCTAATATCCAATCTAAACTTCCCTTGGCACAACTGGAAGCCATTTCCTCTTAACCCATACGTATCCCCACCAGCAAACGGGCAGCACGCTCTCCCTGAGCCCTCCTGCTGCCGCCCCGCTTGAGCCACGACTGAACCCTGGAGCAGACGGTCCAAACCCACTTGGCCATACGTGAAGCGTAGTTTGCATGAAGAAGTTCAGAAGGGGTAACCAGACAGTTTAAGCCAGGCGTGAGAACAGAGACTATCCCCAAACGGTTAATGCCTGGGAGGGCGAGGGGAATACAGAAAGGAGTCCGTACTGCTCAGCCGCACACACACACACACACACACACAGAAAAATCTCAGTTTACATTTGCTGGCAGGTTTCCCCCACAGGATGTCTGTTTGCATGAACTCAAACAACAAACCTTGGCTAGAAATCCCAAATAAAGTAGAAACATGAAGGACTTGCAGCCCGTCTCGCTTCCAGCAATCCCTCATTTCCCCCGATGCCTGCAGAGGAGCTGGAGATGTGCTCCAAGCTCCTGCTGGGAAAGAGCAGCTCCAACGGGGGACATGGCAGCCCCAGCCCCAGGAGCACCAGTGGGACTTGGGAGCAGCCACCCCTCTCCCACCACCCAATTTCCCCGGGGAGCCACACCAAGGATGTGTGATGCTTTGGAACTCCCAGAATCACAACCGCCTCCTCCCACTGCAGAGCTTCAGCCCTTCCCACCTCCTCAACGAGGGTGAGCAGCCGCAGTGAGTCCTCCCCAGGCAGACATCCCATCCCACGCGTAGGCAGAAGCAGCAGGCGTCCGGCCTCCTGCTCTTCCCCACACCGTGCAGAGCCCTGCCACCCTGTGAACCTCACCCTTTCCTGCCCTCCAGACTCACCAGCAGATCCACAAACACCTCTGTGCACACAGTGGCCTGACCCACCTCATCACCACCTTCATCCAGCCACCTGTTGTGGGTTCAATGTAAATGGATGGGAAGGTCACCTACCTTGGCCTCCACCAGATCCGAGACACATCAAGTTACATTCAAACCATTAAACAGAGATATTGCAATAAAGAAAATAACTACTAGCTTTGCTGGGTATTCCAGCTCTGGAGTCCCCAACATTGGCAAGACATGGACCTGGTGGAGCGGGGCCAGAGGAGACCACACAGATGATCAGAGGGCTGGAGCCCCTCTGCTGGGAGGAGAGGCGGAGAGAGTTGGGGGGGTTCAGCCTGGAGAAGAGAAGGCTCCGGGGAGATCTCAGAGCCCCTTCCAGTGCCTAAAGGGGCTCCAGGAGAGGTGGGGAGGGACTTTTTCCAAGGACATGTAGTGATAGGATGAGGGGGCATGGCTTCAAATTGGAAGAGGGGAGATTTAGATGAGATATCGGGAAGAAATGTTTCCCTGTGAGGGCGGTGAGCCCCTGGGGCAGGTTGCCCCGAGAAGCTGTGGCTGCCCCATCCCTGGAGGTGTTCAAGGCCAGGTTGGACGGGGCTTAGAGCAACCTGGGCTGGGGGGAGGTGGACTGGATGGTCTTCAAGGTCCCTTCCAACCCAAACCATTCTGTGATTCTATGATTCTACAATTTTGGCTTTTTACCTGATTGCTCGTTAGAGCATCGCATTTCCCAGGAGAAACTATGGTGGTGAGACATACCAGGGGGACACAGGGAGGGGTGTTCCCTGCACATACCTCCCACGGCAACGCAGGAGAGTCATACCTGAGCAGATGAGTCCTGGATTTCATTGGTTTCTTTCGGCACCTAGACAGTTGGAAAGAGAAAGAAAAAAATATCACTGCCCAAGGACCTGCACTGACCAAAGCACGTGCTTATTGTTGGCTCCAGGATTGAAGAGCGCACTGCTTCCCATGGCACGGGAAACATCCAGGGAGTGTCCACTGGGCACCAGTCATTCATAGCGACATGAGGGAATAGCTTTTGATTAAATCTCTCAAGTCTTTGGGTGGGTTTTGCAGTTTCTTTTGGTTTTGAAGCTAATCAGTCCTGAAGAGGGCCAGCACGGGATGGGAACTGGTGTGATGTGGGGCAGAATCGTCCTGTGGGTTCCCACTTGCAGTCAACTTACTGATGCTTAACATAAAACCTTCTCACTGCTGGGTGAGCCACTGGAGCCATTCAGGTGAGTGCTCCAGGCCTACAGAGCACAGGATAACACAGATATTAAGAGCAGGTTAAGAGGAACCCATCACCGTGTAGGCTCAGAGGACACATCTTGTAGTTTTTAAATCAGAGATTTGTCCTTACGTCTTAGCCCTAGGGAGCGAGTCCAGCTTATCTCGGGGCTACAGCCAGAACCAAAGGGCTGTCAGCACGAGAAATGCCAGGTATCATTTTGGGGGTGACCGCAGGTTACACTTGCTGGGAACTCAGACACACCGATGTCCCTCAGAGCAGACAACCAGCGTCACCTGCTCGGCATTGCGTACTCTGCCTTCTCCACATTTACTCCGGGGCAAAGCCAGCACCTAGGTAATTCCTTACGCTCGGGGCTTTTCCTAAAATCCTTCTCTTAAAGTCACAAATAGAGAAGACCCACCCTGGGGAATGGAGCAGTTAGCACAGGGCTGCTCCAGGCGCAGGGAGAGGCAGGGGTGGCAGCGCCAGCAGGGTGTCCCCGCTCCCTGGGCACGCTGGCACCAGCATCCCTGGGGATGGAGACCTTGGGCAGGACCCAGGCAGGGCATATGCCCCATCCCGCACCCAGTTCCCTCCCCAGACACTGCTCTCCCAGTCCCTCACTAGACCATCAGAAAAGGGTATTACACATGGGAGGTTCATGCCAAACGTTGACATCAGGCACTCGCCTCTTCTGCAAGCCTCTTCCAGGCAGCTATGAAGTCCTCCTAGATACCTGGCCTACAGAGATGAGGTGTCTCCCTGGGCCAACTCCAGTTCCTGTGGAAAGCCTGGGTGCTTCATGTCTTTGGGGATTTAAGTATGTGATCTGGGCCTTTTTGGCACAGATGTATTTCTTGAAAAATTGCCAAATGCTGTAAGAAAAGTAAAATCCACAAAACTTCCATTTTTCCAGCAACGCTGACAAAATGGAGGGGACCACCTTTGAAAGGACAATGCACCAAAGGGTGCAATGCGGCGGTCTTGTTGGGAGCAAGAAAGAATTTCAGAGTGATGTACAATTCCCGAGTACATCTTTCACCCCCTCCCAAAAGCAGAGCTCCAGCTGCAGCGTTACTCAACAGCTACTCAGAACTTCCCCGTGTTAAACACATGAGCGCACACAGTCATACACACACCCAGGCTTTCTTTGGCTCAGAAACTCTCCCTTTGACTCATTCTCCCTTTGCACCGAACCCATCTATGACTCGAAGGGAGGGTTTGGGTGGTGAAAGAACCACCATCCCACACGCTGGCCACCATCACCTCCTCGCATCTCAACTCCAACTGGAGACCCAAGAACTTCCAGGCTGCATTAACGCCCTGAGTTGGTCCTTTCATTTGAACCGTGTTACAGCAGAGAGGAACTCGGGCCAGCAACCCCCAAATTTGTCAGCTGCCCTCAGCCATACCTCTGGCCAGGCTGGCGAGAGCTGCCACGGGGAACCGAAGCGGTGGAGGTTGAAGGAACGCGTGCACGTGGAGTTGTAGCTGCGGCAGTGCTCGCCGGCGGCTGATGGGTCTCCCATCACGAAGATCAGTTGCTGTAGAGCACCCTGGGGAGGAAGCGACACAGAAACCATACTTTACTCACATGCTTCCTCCAGAGGAGAGGGTAAGGTCTGAGGGGGTGGTGGGGTGGGGTGTGAGAGTGGTGGCATCTCCAGCCTCTCATAGCCAGGGACTGCTTTACAGGATGGTTTAGACAATCAACATCTACTCCCCACCTTCAAGAGCTGGATGCAAAGATCCTGGGAGCAAAGGCCAAGAGCCAGCAATGCGCGAGCTGTTCTTGAGTTCAATAACAGTGAGGATTCCAGAGGTGCTGAGCACACTGCAGGAGCAGGCCCTTACTCCAGGAGAGCATCCTCCACCGGCCCAGCCCGAGCAGCACCCCAGTGCAGGGCCAGTACCGAAAGGGACCCGTCGACGGGCTGACAAACAAGGGTGCGTGAGGAGAGAAACCGAAGGGGAAATATTGGGTACAGGAGAGGATTTACAAAGGAGAAGAGAACAAAGCACAATATCGGACCCCCAGCACGGACCGCCAGACAGAGGAGGGAGGAAGGCAGATACACAGGGATGCCCATTTGCCTGCAGAAGGCAAAATGTCAACCTCCAAGGTTCAGCACTTGTCAGAAGCAAAACTGATTCAAAAAGGGCTTCGCCACCTTACTAGGCTGCCTTGGCATTGCCTTCATTAAGCTCAGGGTGACTGAAATAATTTGGTAGTAACACAGCACCACTGATGCTCAAGCAGCTTTTATGCATGACAACCATTCAGAAGGAACATCTGAGCCAGCTCAGTCCATCCAGTGGTTCTCTGCTACCTCCCAGCAGCAGCAAGTGCTGAGAGGAGCACGTCCAAGCTGCCAGCTGATCTCTTCACTAAATGAGCTGAAATCTTCCTCCCCGGGCTGGAGGTGCAGCTGGGCAACCCACTATAAACCAGGGACGAGGATAGAGCTACTCCACAGAAACGAGGAAGAGCTTCAGATTGATGACACAAACCAAGGGTTGATCTCAGAAACACCACTTGGACTTTTTCTGTGAGAGCGAGATCTGTTTGATCCCCTCAGTTTCTGCGTTTGAGGTTGACCATCAGATACATTGCAACACAAAGCCTGAGAGCCTTTGAATTTATCAGGCGTTTTAACAAGGCCATCTACTTTGACCCGCTGGGAAACCTTTGCTTGTGAAGTCCTCAGAGCAGGGACTTTATCTTCAACACATGCATGGGACAAGCTCCACAGCCAAACGCTTCGTGTGCTGACTGCGCAGATGACTTCTGTACATGGTACAAGCCATGGTCAACATGAGAAGGTAAGTGTAAGTCCATAACCTAGAGATCTCTACTGCTGACCTCATTGCTGGCGCTTGAGCTGCCCTGACCCCAAAAGCAAGCACGCTGCACAATCCAAAGCCTTTGCAGAGCTCACCCTCCCCAACCGTAAAAATAAACGGTGTGTTTTAGGAGGAGAAGGCAACAGATTCCTTCCTCACTTCATGCAGCTAGAGCAGACCATGTCCTCAAACACAGCCCTGCCCAGGTCTGCCCAGCTCTCACCTTGAAGGGGATCTCGAAGGACTCGATCAGGCCTCCGATGATGATCAGCCCCTCGGTGTTCACTCCCATCCCAAAATAACTGGACCAGCTCACTCTGTCCACCAGCCGACAGTCCACATGCAACTCCAGTCTCTCCAAGGAGATGCTGAGAGCAACTTGGTGCCAGCGCCCATCGCCGAGAAAGGAAACTGGGAACCTGTGTGCCCCGGAGCAAGAAGGGAAGAGGCACAACATGAAACTTAGGTCTCGCACCTTATGCAGGTCTAAGCTTCACCCTTCACAGCTCCCAGGGTCCTTCAGGTATCCATCCTTAGTGCAGATGCAAAGGACAGTACTAGAGAAATTAAGTCTACCTTATTGTCATAAAGAAGCACCATCACTTCTCTTCCAGCACGGGAACGCTATTTCTATCCAATGGATTTGGGCCCATTTACAAGCAGTTGAGATGTTTGGGACATCATTGGTATTTGTGTTTCTACCCACTTGATCTATCCCCAGGTATTCGAACATTTTTGTCCTTTGCTTTCTTTTCCAGACCTGCATCATTTTGACATAGTGGAGTTGGGCAGCGACTACCTGTGCAGTCACACCACCAGGTCTGAGGGACCATCGCCCAGGTGGGGGGACATGACCTTGATTCAGCTGAGGTGGGGTCAGAGCAGCGCTGCTCAAATCCCAGAGTGGGAAACCTTAACTCTGGCCTTGGGAGTAGAAAAGAAAGTATGAGAAGACAGGAAAAAAGCACCTGAACTGGAACTTACTCATAATGTCTCCTCCTCGTGGTGACAAAGACCAAGGCGTATGGGTTAATCCTGATCTGGAAGAGCACGTTGCTCCGATGGCTAAGGATGGTCACTAGGCTGGTGTCCTCCTTCAGTGAGTACCTGAGCTTCATCAGCACGCTCAGCTCATCTGCAAACCTAGCGGAAAGACGCGACGCATGGCATCCCACACCAGCTGCTGTGTCCCCATCAACTGCCCTCTTAGCACAAAAAGAAAAACCCCAGTCACAGCACAAATGAGCTCAGTGTGATCGAAAAAGAAAAGAAACAAGAGCAAACAATCATTCCGGTTGTAAGGTCAGGTACTGAAATGAAGCAGCCCGGCCAGAATTAGCACTGCCCCTATAACCTTAACGCAATCTCAGGTGCAATCTCAGCACTTGCTTATGTGGCTGTGCGTCATTTTCCACGGGACTCTGCTGAGACCGGATGGTAACCTGGTTACAAGCAGCTCTTCAACGCTGCCTTCTCTCACCACCTCCAGTGTCCTTGTCCACAGCAAGCTACGGCCCCGTATCAAGTATGGCAAAGGTCCAATCTGGCCTATGCCCCCCAGACCAGTTCCTGGGCATCAATCATGCTGAGGGATAAGGCTATGCTGTCATCTCTTGCTCTCTCCAGTTTTGTGCTGGAGCAGAGAGGTCTTCCTGATGGGAACACCAAGAAAACACATTCCTGGAAACGCTCAGTTAAGCACTGTGCCGGTGTGTCTTCCCTGCACACGGTTAAGAACAATGGAAGAAAGTGAAGAAGCGCTGAGCTCATAAGAGCATAGAGTGGATGCATTATCTCTGTGTCGTTATGGAACGGCGTCTTAAAGTAACCCCTCAAACCACCAAGCATGCACGAGATGGTTTTGAGCACCGCCACCCCAACCCCATGCCCCTGCAGGCGGCCTACCTGTCCCCAAAGGCCTCCCGCGTAGGGATGTTGAGGGTAGCGTACTGCCCGATCTCCAGGACGCTGCAGTTGGCTTCGTCATAGCCGAAGGAAATATTGCTGAGGTCCTGTGCGTGGGAAGTAATTTTGTCCAGCAAATTCACTTCATCTGCATCGGGGGAGAAGAAAGAGATGCTCAGTAGTGAGATAGTTTCACTACAGGGCTCTGCTCTCTGTGTTCTACCTACTAGACAACAGACAACCCCCCCTCCCCCCAGGAAGAAGGGAATGCAAGTTGGGAAAATCAAAATAATTCACAAATGCAGTAAACTTGGACAAAAACAAACATTCAGACCATCTCAGAAGCAGCCAGGTGATCTTTCTGAAACAGGAATACATGTTTTGAGGTCAGCGTCCCACAGACACGAAGGGCCATTGCTACCCCAGCAGCGCTGGTACCTTTATGACCATATAGTTGGGATGCTGAGGACTGTGAAGCAGAGTCTGGGACACAAATGTCCCAAACCACAAGTCCTGCATCAGCTGGGTACAGAAACTCCTGCTCAGTCCTTTCCCACGCTCCCTTGTTGAAGCTTGCCCATTTGCAATAAAGAATTGGACCAAGGGGCAGGATGAAGTTATTGTGTCCTTCACCGAGGCGGGTGTCCTGACCGGAGCCTCGGGGCGCTCCCCTCTGCGCAAAGCCACGTTCATCATGGTGACAAGGTCAGGAGCTCCACTGGGAGCTGTGCATCACACAACAGCCCTTTCCCAGAGGGTGAAAGGTCCACTTTCAGAACTATGCTGTGAACGCGCAAGGTGGTTTGAACTGGGCAAGGGCCCCTGGTCTGGGCTATTTGGCAGCACCATCACTTCAGGCTCATGAGGAGCTTTTATCTCCCTTGGTGAACAGAGACATTCCCTTTCCAAGTTCATTCTTTAACGAAAGAACTTTAACTAAACTCTTTAACTAAATGAACTACAGAAATACCTGAACAAAAATTTGTTTCAAACCACAAAATTTCTTGTTCCCCTCCATTAGCAAGAAAAATTGCAGACATCTGGCTCTACCTAGACACACTTTTTCTACCTCCAAGACATCTACAAGCAGGTCCCTCCTTTCTGCTCATCCCTTTATTCTTCTGGGCAGCGTGGCAATAGCCCTGCCACCTGCAAAGGGTGGGATGAGGGACGGACCCAGGGCAACATCCCACGGGCCCAGACTTGCAGGAGGGGTCTGGATCACTCCGGACCCACAGCCGCTTTACTGGGAGGGCTTGGACAATCCCACTTGGTGACTTGTCAACTGGAATCCTGCCAGTACCATCTGCACTAGCATCTGCCATCACTTGGGAGGCATCCAGCCTCTGCATTCACGCTAATTCCCACTGGCGACGAGGTGCGAGATTTATTTGAGGGCAGATGAACAGCCTCGGGCATGCTGCAGCCTGACGGGAGATATACGCACCGTATAGATCTGCTGCTCTGGAAAAATCACAAGTCAATTGAGCAGAAAGCTGCTTTGATCCCGGTCAGACGCTAACGCAGCAGTCCTGCCACCTCCTCCTCAGAAGATCTAGCATGGGAAAGAGCCCCGCGCTGGGAAGGAGGAGAGGGAATGGGGTCCCGCAGGAGACGTGACTGTTTGTGGTGACTTGGGATTTCACCTGGCATTTCCCCAGCTCTGCACAGGGTCACAGCATCAGCGTGTTCCCAGGCAACTCTCAGCTCAGCAACACGAACATGCAGCAGCCTTGGGCAGCGGGAAGGTTGCAGAGCTGGTACCAATGCGGACAGGGTGCAGGGCTGAGCCCCTCAGAGATGTGAGCAGCCAGAAACCCTGAGACGGTACTGAGGTTATCGGTGTTGCAAGTGAAGTGCGTGCACAGCACGGGGAATTAATCTGAGACCGAACACAGCTGACAGAGGCAGGGGAAAAAAAAAAAAAAAAAAATAAAATCAGGCATGTTTCTCCCTTCTCATTCCCAGGCGGTTTTGGGAGGTGATTTCCCAGCTTCTGACTCCAATGGATGTGCCAAGACCTGCACGCTCCATCTCCAGGGGTGCAGCCCTCACCACCCATCAGCTTCGCTGCCCATTGCAGGCAGACACGGGTGAATTCGGTGGATGCTATCAGGTGAAGAGCCTTCCTACCAGCTGCAGCTGCGGACTTAGTACCAGAAACTATGGGCTGACAAGGAAGTTTTCCTGGGCAGGGTATGGCCTTAAAACACGACTCCAGCATTTGCTGAAAGTTAAAAACGTGGTCCATGACAACATGTGCCTGGAGGGTTGAAGTTAAGCGTGTGCTTTCCGAAATAAAGCAGCAGAGACTCCTCTCCCCGTGGGCCGAGAAGTGGAGGCAGCCGGAGGGCGAGGACAGGGACAGGGCCACACCAGCAGGGTCAAACAGCCAGGGCTGGTGTTTGCCCCCCTCACCAACCCCCAGAGAAGAATTTCCCATAAAAGAAAAACAGAATTAGGAGTGAAATTAATGAGATTGCTGAAGTCCCAGGCAAGGGGACAGGTAGGAGGCACAACCCATCACAGCCGAGGGAGCGGCTGTCCATGGCATGGACCACCAGCGCACCCCGCACCTCACAGAGAAGGCAGAGAGGAGCTGGTCAAGAGCTTCGCCCTGCCGTCAGAGCCTGAGCGTCACGGGAAGGATTTAGTCGTGTTCCCATCCCTACGGACACCTCCCTACACATCTACAGGCCCAGCGGGAACGGCAGAGCAAGAGCTGAGCACAGGCGCCCCACAGCCCCCACAGGATGCGGGCAGTTCAGGGGACGATGCCAAACCTCTACTGGAGACAAGCAAGGACAACCGAATGACAACAGGTCACTTCAAACGTTGCGCACGGGCCAACCTCAGCAAGGACAAGCATCGGCCAGTGGAGCCGGAGCCAAGAACGCGGCCCCCCACGCTCGGGCTAGCCAACCCCCGCGCCCGGGCTAGCCCACCCCCACGGTCATGTTTTGGGAGAAATGCTTCCAAGGCTGAGGACCACAGCAGCCAGTGGAAAGGGGGACACCCATAAAGAGCTATTAGAGCCACATCGTGGAACTGCCGAATCCCACCCCACGAACCCATTGCGATGCTCGGTGTGGCATCTTAAACCCTGGCCATCAGCTGCAGTAGTTATACCCTGGGCAGCTCAGCCACTGCAAAGACCACTTTCCCCCAAAAGCCAGAAGAGGAAAGTTGAAATAAACGATGTGCCTCCCCACCACCAGCCCTCCCGCAGAGCTGGGGAAGCTGGAAAGCAGATTCCCTTCTGCCCGCTTTACCAGTTCCAGACTGCAGCTCTCCCACATGCACGGCTTTTTCTTCCCAACTCCCTGTTCTCCAGAAGCAGCTTTCCGTGTGTTTATTTTAGCCGCATCTGGCTCATTTCTGCACTGGTGGGATGAGCCGGTGGGGCCGCCGAAAAGCCTGCAGCAGAAACCCACAGCTGCACGAGCCATCAGATGGGATCCATCTATCGCAGAGACTTTGAAGAGCGCCTTGCTGCAATAGCTGCGGCTCACGGCACCGCTCGCCCATCCTGGGGCGGCAGCTGTTTACGACACCGGATTTACTGCTCAACCCGCCTCAACACCAAAGCTTTCACTTGCAAAAGGATTAGCCAAGGGCCAACTCTCCATCCTGACACCGCTGCGTTTCTGGGCGTTACAGGAACGTCACGGATTTGCTTTAAATTTCAAAGCAGGTTTATTTTCTCTCTCTGCCTTAACCCCCGGGAGCAGATGCGTGGCTTCTCAAGGACACGGATTACCTGTGGAAGCAGTTCTCAGCTGCGAGGTCTGAGTCACCCGCTACCAGAGAGGAGGGTCACAGCCTCTCTGGGCGCTGGCTAATCCCAGGCAGGTGGATGCTGAGGATGCAGCGAGTGCAGCCACCGCAGCAGCCAGAGCCAGGGACCGGACAGCCCATACACCCGATACGGTAATTCTGGTTCCTTTACAAAAAATCATGTTTTCTCATGAGCTTTCAGCTTTCCCAGGTGCCTTATCCCCAAAGGCTTTCACCCCACCACCAGGCTTCCCCATCTCCTTCCAGCGGCCATCAGTGAGCAGCTCCGCTCACAAACGCTCTTTCCGCTGCTGCGGAGCGACCTTCACCACCGGCACGCTCCCACCGCCACCCTGCCGTGCTCGCCGTCCAGCTGTGCTGGCATTGGGCTCTGGACCAGGGTTCTTCCTTGCCCACCTGCAGAAAAGCCAGGCAAGACTGCCCGCGGTGCGCATTCAGACATTCAGCATGCCAAACCAACACCTTTGCTATTCAACCTCAAACCAAAAGCCTGCAGAATGGTTATTTCTATGCTGGAAAGGAGATTCCTGGAGTTCAACAGCTACTGCCAAATTCAGCTTGCCTCCGGGCTCCTACAGCAGCGCAGGAATCTTCACAGGCATCTCGTTGCCAGCGAGGCTTGTGCACGGGCCAACCTCAGCAAGGACAAGCACCGGCCAGTGGAGCCGGAGCCAAGAACGCGGCACCCCACGCTCGGGCTAGCCCACCCCCACGCTCGGGCTTTGGGAGAAATGCTTCCAAGGCTGAGGACCACAGCAGCCAGCAGAAAGGAGGACACCCATAAAGAGCTATTAGAGCCACATCATGGAGCTGCCGAATCCCACCCCATGAACCCATTGCGGCGCTCGGTGTGGCATCAGGAGGTCTCTGCCTCCGAGAGCCCAGAAACCCAGAGAAACGGCCAGACTGCTCTTGTGTTTTAGGGCAGATATCGCAGCAATCCGAAGCTGGGGCTAGAGGACCAAACCCGCAGAGACTTGCAAGGCTCAGCGAAAGATGTGTTCTCTGATTATCAGCTGTGTGCCCTGGACCATCATTACCTCCACAGCTGTGGTCTGAGCACACTGGTGCACTTTAAGAGATGCTTATTATAAAAACTATGACTTCTTGTTTGTTTCCTTTGTAAAAAAAGTTAAACAGTAAATCCAAAAAAAAAAAAAATATGCGTGCATCCCTTCTTCAAAATGAAGTCACTTAGAAAAACACACGGAAAGAGGGATTAAAGACTTTACCCCACCACTCTGAGAAGTTATAAACAAATTCCAGTTCAAATATTAAGCACACATTCAGCACCCACATTTCCAGGATAAAGGAGAGCTGAAGGCAGAGGGGTCTGCGTCTGCCCCTGCA